TCACTTTCTGCCATAAGGGTGGTGTCATCTGCATATCTGAGGTTATTGATATTTCTCCCGGCAATCTTGATTCCAGCTTGTGCTTCTTCCAGCCCAGCGTTTCTCATGATGTACTCTGCATATAAGTTAAATAAGCAAGGTGACAGTATACAGCCTTGACGTACTCCTTTTCCTATTTGGAACCAGTCTGTTGTTCCATGTCCAGTTCTAACTGTTGCTTTCTGACCTGCATACAGGTTTCTCAAGAGGCAAGTCAGGTGGTCTGGTATTCCCATCTCTTTCAGAATTTTCCAGTTTATTGTGATCCACACTGCTCACAATCCTCTAAAACGTTCTCCAGACCTCTTCTGTAGGCTACTCGAACCTGAATCTGAGAGGTCGTCTCCCTCCTTACAATGTGTCTGGATTACAAATAGCCCAGCACCTGCCCCTTCATAAACATGCCTGGTGGGGACGGCAGGAAGAAGCCCAACCCTCCCTGGCTATAGCAGCTCAGGGCACACGGGCCTTTTTGGGGTATCTCTGGCGCCCCATGACGCCTCTTTCAGAGCTCAGAAGAGAGGACAGCAAGTGTGTTATGGGTGCCAGGGAGGGGGGCTTCCTGGTGAGAGAGCAAAGTAGAGGTGGATCCTCAGTGAGGGAAACGGGGGTGGGAGGGGCAATGAATGGGAGCAGGAGGCAGGATCCCGCCCACCCCGGCCCTGCAGAGAGGAGGGCCCCTGGGAAGCACACAGTAGGGCGGGAAGGTGAGCAGGCTTTGGGCAGGGGCTCTCTGCCCTCCAGCCGTGGAGGAGGGAAGGGAGGGCACAGTGCGGAGAGAGTCTGGAGAGGAAGAGACAAGCTGAAGGACCCCAGGGAGGAAGGGTCAGAAAAGGGCCAGGGCCAGGCCTTGGGGTCTGACTGGATGCTGGGCAGAAAGGATGAGAGGAGGAAGTCAGGCAGGATTTAGGCATGGCTCTGGGGGAGTGGACCAGGAGGATCAGAAAGGGGGTGGTGTCTGGTGGGGAATGGCTGAGACCCCATGACGGTGAAGCAGCTGCTGTTCAACATGCCCACCGCCAAGTGCCAGGCCTCCAGCGGATGCTCACATGGGGCTTCCCGGGCAGTGGGGAAAGTGCGGCTTGGAGAGTCAAGCTGGGGGCCTCATTCATTTAAGGAATGTTTACAGACCACTCCGTGTACCAGGAGAGATCCGGTCTATGCTCCCAAGAGGACTTCAGTTCTAAAGGGAAGTCAATAATAATGAAGTAGTCCACAAATAACTTCAAGTTGTGATAAATACATATTCTTGTCTGGAAATCCATAGACAAACAAGCCTGGCAGGCTACAGTCCATGGGGTCACAAAAGAGTGGACATGACTTAGCAACTAAACAATAACAACAATGATAAAGACTATGAAGGAAGGGGAGGGGAAAGTCTTTTAGCAGAAGCAAGAGTGTGCAAAGGCCCTGGGGCAGAGAAAAGAAGGGGTTCCTGGCACTGCTGGAGAGGAAGCAGGGAAGGGGAGTAATCCTTGAAATGAGGGACACAAGGGGCCAGGCCTTGAAGGCTGTGAATGTTGTAAGATGACAACTTAGATTTTATGCCAAGCACAGAGGGCAACATTGCTGGGTTTTAAGCAATGGAATGACAAGATCCAGTACAACTTCTTGAAAAGATAGCTTTTAGGGAGCAAGAACCAATCAGAGAGCAAACAACCAATGGCCTCTTTGGAAGGCAGGGTCAGAATCAATAGGACTTGGAGCAGATGTGGAAATGAAGCAAAGGAGGGGATGGGGTTAAAGATGGTTCAGAGATTTCTGGCTTGAGCAGCTGGATGAGATGTGGGGCCATTCAGTGATCTGGAGAAGACTAAGGGGCAGTTTGGTGTGGAGGTAGAAAGCATGAGCTCTGTGATCTTGAGCAAGTTATTAACTTCTTTAAGTTTCTCTGGGCACCTCCAAAGCTTCAGTCCACCGTGCTTAAGACTCATGAGCAGGGACTTTCCTGGTGGTCTGGTGGTTAAAAATCTACCATCCAATGCAGGGTATGCATGTTCAATTCCTGGTTGGGGAACTAAGATCCCATATGCCACAAGACATCTAAGCCTGCCTGCCACAATTGCTGAGCCCGTGTGCCTCAGCTAGAGAGCCCGCATGCCACAATGAAATATCCCGCATGCCGCAAATAAGACCTGACACAGCTATAAGTAAACAGACTCATAAGCAAGTGCAAGAAATTCAAACTATTATTATAATGCCATTAGATTCTTGTCAATAGAAACACTAATTATGAATTCCTCCGAGGGGAGCCTGATGGGAGTCAGGGAGCAGAGGTAGGGCTAGTCTCCAACAAAGGACCCTGAAGTCTGGAGCACCATGGAGGAGAAGGTCTCCCGAGCCCCAGATGGCCCAGGGACCGGGGGAGGGTCCCAGCAGCCCCCTTTATCCCCAGCAACACACTCCTACTCAGAGCCCATTTCACTCATTGCACGCCCCCACTCAGCACTGTGGCTGGACCATTTCAAGGGCTTTCAGTCTGACCCCAAGGGCAAAGAGGAATCAATTTGTGCAAAGAATGGGAATGGAAGAGATTTCAATTGACCTTTGAATGGGGTTTTAATTTGCTTTATTACAGCCAAAGGAGCCTCATGAAGAGACTCTTGAGACTGCTTTTATCCGCTAATGCCCGCACCCTTGCAACCTCCTGGGCCTCCATCTAGATGCCCAGGATGCTGGGGGCAGGGGAGCAAGGCCAGAGGCGCTGGGGAACCAGCATCCATGACCCTCCCAGGAACTGGTCTGCAGCCCCCTTGAGGCCCAAAGTGGAGTCAAGAGTGCAGGCAGGGGCAGCGGGAGGGCAGCCCAC